TGTGTAAAAGCTGAGGTGTGTAAAATCTTTTGTGTGTCCAAGGTTCTGTGTGTAAAAGCTTCTGTGTGTAAAAGCTTCTGTGTGTAAAAGCCTCTGTGTGTAAAGGCTTCTGTGTGTAAAAGCATCTGTGCGTCAAAGTTTCTGTGTGTAAAAGCTTCTGTGTGTAAAAGCTTCTGTGTGTAAAAGCATCTGTGCGTCAAAGCTGCGTTGTGTAAAAGCTTCTGTGTGTAAAAGCATCTGTGCGTCAAAGCTGCGGTGTGTAAAAGCTTCTGTGTGTGAAAGCTTCTGTGTGTAAAAGCCTCTGTGTAAATGCTTCTGTGTGTAAAAGCGTCTGTGTGTAAAAGCTGAGGTGTGTAAAAGCTTCTGTGTGTAAAAGCTTCTGTGTGTAAAAGCTTCTGTGTGTAAAAGCTTCTGTGTGTAAAAGCATCTGTGTGCACAAGTTTCTGTGTGTAAAAGCTTCTGTGTGTAAAAGCTTCTGTGTGTAAAAGCTTCTGTGTGTAAAAGCTTCTGTGTGTAAAAGCGTCTGTGTGTAAAAGCTTCTGTGTGTAAAAGTTTCTGTGTGTAAAAGCTTCTGTGTGTAAAAGCTTCTGTGTGTAAAAGCATCTGTGTGCACAAGTTTCTGTGTGTAAAAGCTTCTGTGTGTAAAAGCGTTTGTGTGTAAAAGTTTTTGTGTGTAAAAGCTTCTGTGTTTAAAAGCTTCTGTGTGTAAAAGCGTCTGTGTGTAAAAGCTTCTGTGTGTAAAAGCTTCTGTGTGTCAAAGCTTCTGTGTGTAAAAGCCTCTGTGTGTAAATTATTCTGTGTGTAAAAGCGTCTGTGGGTAAAAGCTTCTGTGTGTAAAAGCCTCTGTGTGTAAAAGCGTCTGTGTGTAAAGGGTTCTGTGTGTAGAAGTGTCTGTGAGTAAAAGCCGCTGTGTGTAAAAGCTTCGGCGTGTAAAAGCTTCTGTGGGTAAACGCTTCTGTGCGTAAAAGCGTCTGTGTGTAAAAGCTTTTGTGTGTAAAAGCCCCTGTGTGTAAAAGCTGCTGTGAAAAGCTTCTGTGTGTAAAATCTTTTGTGTGTCCAAGGTTCTGTGTGTAAAAGCTTCTGTGTGTAAAAGCTTCTGTGTGTAAAAGCCTCTGTGTGTAAAAGCTTCTGTGTGTAAAAGCCTCTGTGTGTAAATGCTTCTGTGTGTAAAAGCGTCTGTGTGTAAAAGTGTCTGTGGATAAAAGCTTATGTGTGTAAAAGCTTCCGTGTGTAAAAGCTTCTATGTGTAAAAGCTGCTGCGTGTAAAAGCTGTTGTGTGTGTAAAAGCTTTTGTGTGTAAAAGCTTCTGTGTGTAAAAGCTTCTGGGTGGAAAAAACACTAGAAATCCTTCACTCTGCTGGGGGAGAGCTTTTTGGACGGAAGCCGGGAACGCCTCTATGTGTAAAGGCTTCTGTGTGCAAAAGCTTCTGTGTGCAAAAGCTTCTGTGCGCAAACTTCTGACGAGTCGAAGTCGGAGTAGGCGTCGGAGGAGGCGTAGGAGGGGAGTAGGAGTGGGAGTAGGAGTGGGAGTAGGAGTGGGAGTAGGAGTGGGAGTAGGAGTGGGAGTAGGAGTGGGAGTAGGAGTGGGAGTAGGAGTGGGAGTGGCAGTAGTAGTGGGAGTAGTAGTGGCAGTAGTGGCAGTAGTGGCAGTAGTGGCAGTAGTGGCAGTAGTGGCAGTAGTGGCAGTAGTGGCAGTGGTAGTGGCAGTAGTGGCAGTGGTGGCAGTGGTGGCAGTGGTGGCAGTGGTGGCAGTCAGTAGTAGGCAGTAGTAGTAGTCAGTAGTTCAGTAGTAGCAGTAGTAGGTTAGTAGTAGTAGGTAGTAGTCAAGTAGTAGTAGTAGTAGTAGTAGTAGTAGTAGTAGGGAGGGGGGGGGGAGGGGGAGGGCGAGGGGGAGGGGGTTGATTCAGACGAAGCAAAAACGCGCGGGAAGAGAACAAAGGAACAAGTACAAGCCAAGAACAGAAACAAGTACAAAACAAGAACAGAAACAAGAACAACACCTCACAAACAGACACGCCGGCAGGCCGGCGGATTTTCTTCTTCTTATTATTTATTTTTTATTATTATTATTTATTTTTTGTTATTGCTTTTTTATTAATAATTATTTATTACTTTTATTTTTATTTTTTTTATTATTAATTATTTATTACTTTTATTTTTATTTTTATTATTATTATTAATTATTTATTACTATTATTATTATTATTATTTTTTTTAATTTTAATTATTTATTTTTATTATTATTAATATGTTTTTATATTTTTATCATTATTATTTTTATTCCCCACATCTTTGTGTGGGGTTCTTGTTTTTGGTTCTGCATCCTGTCCACCGCCTCCACCGCCTCCCGCTCCCGTCGCCTCCTCCCGTCACACACAACTTGTCTTCACACTACTTGTCTACACACAACTTCTCCACACACAACTTGTCATCACAAACCTTCTCCACACACAACTTGTCTTGACACACAACTTGTCATCACACAACTTGTCATCACACAACTTGTCTTGACACAACTTGTCCACACACAACTTGTCATCACACAACTTGTCATCACACCACTTGTCTTCACACTACTTGTCCACACACAACTTGTCTTCACACGACTTGTCCACACAACTTGTCTTCACAACTTGTCTTCACAGTACTTGTCCACACACCACTTGTCCTCACACGCCTCCTCCCGTCACACACAACTTGTCTTCAGACTACTTGTCTACACACAACTTCTCCACACATAACTTGTCATCACACAACTTCTCCACACACAACTTGTCTTGACACAACTTGTCCACACACAACTTGTCATCACACAACTTGTCATCACACCACTTGTCACAACTTGTCATCACACCACTTGTCCACACAACTTGTCATCACACAACTTGTCCACACACCACTTGTCATCACACCACTTGTCTTCACACTACTTGTCATCAGACCACTTCTCATCACACCACTTGTCATCACACCACTTGTCATCACACCACTTGTCTTCACACTACTTGTCATCAGACCACTTCTCATCACACCACTTGTCATCACACCGCTTGTCTTCACACTACTTGTCTTCACACTACTTGTCCACCGGGCACCAGCACACAGGCAGAGTCAAGCTGCATCGGTTAGTGCTGTGTGCGCAGCTGCATCGAGTGTTGCCGTCGTTGCCATGTCAGGTTTTGCAGGCGTGGCACTTGTCAACACATGGATCGTCACTTTGCGTGGCAGGCGTGGCACTTATGGCACTGGGTTGGCTCTGGTGGCGCGCTTGGTTCCCAGGCCGCGCTGGGACGCCGCGGCGTTTTGCGTGGCAGGCGTGGCACTTTGTGACATCCACCTTCACTTTGTGTGGCAGGCGTGGCACTTGATGACATGGATCGTCACTTTGCGTGGCCGGCGTGGCACTTGTCAACACATGGATCGTCACTTTGCGTGGTTTGCGCGGCAGGTGTGGCACTTATGGCACTGGGTTGGCTCTGGTGGGGCGCTTGGTTCCCAGGCCGCGCTGGGACGCCGCGGCGTTTTGCGTGGCAGGCGTGGCACATTGTGACACCCACCTTCACTTTGTGTGGCAGGCGTGGCACTTGATGACATGGATCGTCACTTTGCGTGGCCGGCGTGGCACTTGTAAACACATGGATCGTCACTTTGCGTGGTTTGCGCGGCAGGTGTGGCACTTATGGCACTGGGTTGGCTCTGGTGGCGGGCTTGGTTCCCAGGCCGCGCTGGGACGCTGCGGCGTTTTGCGTGGCAGGCGTGGCACTTTGTGACATCCACCTTCACTTTGTGTGGCAGGCGTGGCACTTGATGACATGGATCGTCACTTTGCGTGGCAGGCGTGGCACTTGATGACATGGATCGTCACTTTGCGTGGCAGGCGTTTTGCGTCGCAGGCGTGGCACTTTTGGCACTGGGTTGGCTCTGGTGGCGCGCTTGGTTCCCAGGCCGCGCTGGGACGCCGCGGCGTTTTGTGTGGCAGGCGTGGCACTTTGTGACATCCACCTTCACTTTGTGTGGCAGGTGTGGCACTTGATGACATGTATCGTCACTTTGCGTGGCAGGCGTGGCACTTGCAGGCGTGGCACTTGCAGGCGTGGCACTTGTCAACACATGGATCGTCACTTTGCGTGGCAGGCGTGGCACTTATGGCACTGGGTTGGCTCTGGTGGCGCGCTTGGTTCCCAGGCCGCGCTGGGACGCCGCGGCGTTTTGCGTGGCAGGCGTGGCACTTTGTGACATCCACCTTCACTTTGTGTGGCAGGCGTGGCACTTGATGACATGGCAGGCGTGGCGCTTTGTGACATCCACCTTCACTTTGTGTGGCAGGCGTCGCGCTTGATGTCACTTTGCGTGGCAGGCGTGGCACTTATGGCACTGGGTTGGCTCTGGTGGCGCGCTTGGTTCCCATACATACATACATACATACATACATGCATACATACATACATACATACATACAGACATACATACTACATGCATACACAACTTACTCATACCGGTCTATACGTGGATGTTATTGCGAAAGAGCTGGCGCTGTCTGAGGCGACTTGATGTTATTGGATTAGTGTGTTCAGTATTGTTTGTCTAGCTGGCCTTCTATTTGGATGCAACTCATTCACCTGGTTGCATACGCCAATCCTTCACCATCTCTTTTCTCTTTCATGTTTCCCCATGCTATCTTTACCTTTCTTTTGCTGCTTGTTTGAAGAAGTTGACATGTGGGGTTATCCGGTTCTTTTATTATTATTATTATTAATTTATTTTTATTATTATTATCATTTTCAAAATTATTTTATTATTAATATTATTATTTTGGCTTTCTTTTTTTTTACTATATTATAATTATATAAATTCATTTATTTTTGACATGGGTGTATTATCAATGAACATGTCTATGTATGTGCATGTGTGCGTGCGCGAGGCAAGCAGGTACATATAAACATTTGTCCATACTCTCTTCTCATGAGCGATTAGTGGGATGTTGTGTGAAGTTCGGGCGGATGTGTGACTTCATTTGCCATTCTGCAGCGGCGCAGGTGGTGATCTTCTCATCAATTTCTTCGATGATCATCATGGCAGTGTGTGCCCTCTTCCACCGTGCCGCCATGGGCGGCAACTCTGAGTATGCGGTCTTCAACCTTGGCAGGACCACTGCGCGGGCCACTACATGACGAGAGAGTTCACCTTTACTCGCCGGTCTCCCACAGTGCAATAATTGTGTATGACAGCAGTATGACATAGAAAATAAACAGTGCTTGTTCGTGGCATGAATGCGATGTAGGGGCTGATAAATGCATTGATAGATAGATGGCCAAACAGGATTCAGTCTTTCCCAGACATTGTTTTTTCGCCATGGACATCATTTTTCTGCCATCCCAAACATTAAAAACATCATCATGTTGTGATGGTGGTGGTGTCGATCAAGATGTTTTCTTTTGTCACGAACCATTTTGACGCTTGCGAAGTTGATTTCACGAAGTCTGCTGCGAAAAGTTGAGGTGATACATATGTTTCCCGTCCGTCTGCAGTTTCATCTTTTTCGTGACGCCAGTTATGATTACGATACGACGTTCCAATACGTTCCATTCAAAGCCATCACCTTTGGCTGGTTGTGAGTGGTGATGCTTGCAGACCAGTGGTTGGTTTGCACAGTAAGCAGTTGGCATGGCATACTGGTATGTCATATGTGTAGCTTGCGAGGACCCCAAATCCTGACGTCCTGGCGCAGAAGATGAAGGCACCTTTTGCAGTCTTGTAGAATTCGCTATGGTTGAACTTCTCGAGGCGCTTATCGTGCTACTCGTAGAGTCAACCATCGTTCTAGATTAAATATGCCGGGGGCACTTCATGATACGGAACCATACATGCCGCGTCCAAGTATAGGGGCTGTCTCCACCCACCTGGAATGATCACCTGCATGCCTGATTCATCATGACTGACAGCGAAAGGGGAAACATCGAAACATCGAGGTGCCACTTTCCGGTTGACTCGTTGACGTCAGCGGTCAGCAGTGATACCGATCCCATGATCGCTGGGCAATGCAACTGTCAGGAAATGGCGGAACTGCTGGGCCAAATGGAGACGAAGGACGTGGCCCCAGCTGCCACGCCGGAAAACCTCAATCGATACCCTCACTTGTGGCTCAGGGAGACTTAGGCACACAGTCATGATAGTCATCCAAAGTAGGCAGGATGTTGTTGGAACATGTGTTGGCGGAACCATTCGGATTGGCACACTCAGATGAAGCGACTTTTTGATCCATTGTGCAAACCACCTAGCTTTTGCACCTAGGAGGTTGAGAAGGCATTCGATGCGCTGGCAGTCTTTGACACCAGGTGGTTGGAGCAGAATCTTTCAATGATTCTCAGTGTCTTTTCCTCACCGAAGATTTCAGGAACATGTCAGACAGGGACGCTGCTTAGACTTAGTGACCACATTTGACCGGTTCTATTTACTGGATTCTAGACTGGGAGTCTACAACTTGAGCCTTTCACAGGCGCATCATGAACTTTATGACGATGATGTCCGCAGAAGTCCTTACTGGGCGCTCCGACTTGGCTTACGGAACCAGAGTTCCTCGGCAGTGTCTTCTGCCGTCTTGGATCTCTCTAGGTGTGCCACAATAGACCGCTTTACATATTTATATATATATATTTATATACATACATATATAGCCTGCATCATGCCGTATTCATATTCATGCCAGATCATGCCACATCTACCAGTAGAGCCCGGGCAAGGCGGGTGACGGAAGTTTCGACAGGGGCGAGGCAGGTAGGCTATAAAGAAAAGGGAGAGCCTACAGGGACAAGCCTGACCGCCTGGTTGCCACGGCCGTTCACTGTGTCAGCTCTTGGAACTCTTTCTCTTTGACATTTCTTTCTCTCGGCATCCTTTTCTGATGATGCCATTTTCTCTTGATTCGGTTTTCACTTGTCATCTCTGATTCTTGACAGCCCTTCCTGTTGCCCGCTGTTTGTCTAGACGTTTCCCCTGACATCTTTTTCTACCGATGCCACTTTGTCTTGATCCTGTTTGCCCTTGTCATCTCTGAATCTTGCCTTGACAGCTCCTCTTGTTGACAGCTCTGAAGCCCAAGACCTGACACACTCTTCTCTCCTGCCAGACTTTTTTCAACACTCGTCTCTCCTGACAAACTTCTTTCCCTACTCTCTTCACTTCGCTACAGTACATTGGTCGCTTGTGACCCTATTCACTGTTTCTACGTTTTGAACCATAAAAAATAGGGTCGCAAAGTGACCAAGTGTGCTTGGAGTCCCACGCCTGTCACATAAAGTAACTGTGTCCCTTTGTGGTCGCTTGTGACCCTATTCGTGCCCGAAGTTCCATTTTTGAAGGAAGTCTCGCAGAAAAGCTTTGTTTTTGAGTTTCGAAGCTTCATTTTTGAAGGAAGTCTCGCAGAAAAGCTTTGTTTTTGAGTTTCGAAGCTTCATTTTTGAAGGAAGTCTCGCAGAAAAGCTTTGTTTTTGAGTTTCAAAGCTCCATTTTTGAAGGAAGTCTCGCAGAAAAGCTGCGTATTAGAGCTTCGAAGCTTTGTTTTTGAAGGAAGTCTCGCAGAAAAGCTTCGTTTTAGAGCTTCGAAGCTCCATGTTTTAAGGAAGTCTCGCAGAAAAGCTTCGTTTTCAAGCTTTCAACTTGAATCTGAAATCAAATTTAAAATCTATTGATTTTCAAACCAATTGAATCTCAAACCATTTGAAGTTGAAATAAATTGAAATTGAAATCAATTGAAGTTGAAATCAATTGAATCTCAAATCAGTTGAATCCCAAAGCAATTGAGTTTCAAAGCAGTTGACTTTCAAATCAATTGAATCTGAAATCAATTGAAATTCAAATCAATTGAATTTCAAATCGTTGACTCTCACATCAATTGAATTTCGCACTTCACTCCTATAGGCTTCTTATCTTGGAAACTTCCGCCACCGCCTCGTGCGGTAGATGTGTTATCTCAACTCTACCACTTTCGCCTTGCCACACATGTGTCAAGTCCCGATGTGTACTTCTAAATTAAAAGCCACCCTTTTTCGCCTTGCTACACATGTCCCAAGTCTCGATGTGTACTTCATCTCAACTCTACCATTTTCGCCTTGCTACACATGTGTTAAGTCCCGATGTGTACTGTACTTCTAATCTAAAATCTACCCTTTTTTGCCTTGCTACACATGTCTCAAGTCTCGATGTGCACTTCTTATTCAAAATCCACCCCCTTTTCGTCTTGCTACACATTTTCGCGCAATCCAAGCCAGTTGATCAGCAAGGACTTAGATGACGTGGTCACGGTAAACCAAGAATCGTGTAATTCTGTGCATCTGTTTCCTGCTGTGTTGTGGAAGTGTATTTGCAAACGCAGAATGTTTAGACTTTGGAAGACATGTGGCCGCTGCCTTTTCAGATGGGTTGGCCGCGGAGACTACCTCAAGGGGATCTGGACCTGGAAGACTTGCGACAGCGGGAAATGGCAGGCTTGAGATACGAGTAGTACCGCACAAGGCGGTATTAAATGCTACCTACCTACCTACCTACCTACCTACCTACCTATACCTCTACCTGCCTGCCTGCCTGCCTACCTACCTAGCTACCTAGCTACCTAGCTACCTAGCTACCTAGCTACCTAGCTACCTAGCTACCTAGCTACCTAGCTACCTAGCTACCTACCCTACCTACCTACCTACCTAATCTATCTATCTATCTACCTACCCTAGCTACCTACCTAACCTACCTACCACCTAATCTATCTATCTATCTATCTATCTATCTATCTATCTGTGTTCCACCTACCCTATCTATCTATCTTCTATCCATCGATCTATCTATCTATCCTATCTATCTATCTGTGTGTCCACCTACCTAATCTATCATCTCTCTATCCATCGAATCTATCTATCCTATCTTCATCTGTGTGTCCTACCTACCTATCTATCTATCGATCTATCTAATCTCATCCATCCCATCCATCTATGGCCCTATCTAGCTATCTACCTTTGAATCATTGAAGTTGGAAATCAAGTTGAATCTCAAAATCAGTTGAATCCCAAAGCAATTGAGTTTCAAAGCAATTGACTTTCAAATCAATTGAATCTGAAATCAATTGAAATTCAAATCAGTTGAATTTCACAGCAGGTGCCTCTCAGATCAATTGAATTTCGCACTTCACTCCTATAGGTTTCTTATCTTTGGAATCTTTAAATAAAGAAATAGAATGGAGACCATGGTTTAGTGGAACGCAGGGGGGGGAAGTTTAAATAAGGAAGTAGAATGGAGACCATGGTATAGTGGAACGCAGGGGGGTTCAGTTTAAATAAAGAAGTAGAATGGAGACCATGTTTTAGTGGAACGCAGGGGGGGGAAGTTTAAATAAGGAAGTAGAATGGAGACCATGGTATAGTGGAAAGCAGGGGGGGAAGTTTAAATAAAGAAGTAGAGTGGAGACCGTTGTATGGTGGAACGCCGGGGGGGGGAGTTTAAATAAAGAAGTAGGAGACAATGGTTTAGTGGAACGCAGGGGGGGAAGTTTAAATAAAGACGTAGAGTGGAGACCATGGTATAGTGGAACGCAGGGTGGGGAAGTTTAAATCAAGAACTAGAATGGAGACAACGGTTTAGTGGAACGCAGGGAGGGAAGTTTAAATAAAGAAGTAGAATGGAGACAATGGTTTAGTGGAACGCAGGGGGGGGAAGTTTAAATAAGAAGTAGAATGGAGTACAATGGCTTAGTGGAACGAGGGGGGAAGTTTAAATAAA